CGCACGCATCAACTTACGGTATCCTGAAGGTCCATGACTTGCAGGTCAGGCTTGTACCTCAGCGTGTTGACTTCAGCCCAAAACACAGGAACGCTGCCTCTGATTTGGACGAAGCTGAGCTTATGTGAGAACTTTTCAACATTTGAGATGCGCCCTGCTGCTTGTTCTTCAACGAGTAGTATCTGTTCTGTTTCATTAAAGTTCGCCACGTGTCCTTCATGGTCAACGCCTCGGCGGAAGTATCGAGTCCCTGCACGATACCGTGATCTCCGACTGATAAGACATAACTGGATTCTGTGTCCGTGGATATAGACGGTACGGATATCAAATGCTGATGACTATTGGTGAGCACAGACGTGGAATTTCTGAGGTGAACACGCACTGCCGTAAATGATAGGAAGGATGTATGGACTGAGCTACTCGTGTTTCGGTGTCAGACATATCCTGGTGAATATATGTATATGAAGCTGCTCACATCTTGTGCAATGTCGGTGTCAATTAGCCTGGACTGTAAGAACCTGGACGGGGCCGTTAACACGTGGATGAAAATAAACACGGAAGATGCACTTGTTCCAGAGGAACCTGTCGTCCGCCTACTGTACTGTCAGACATTACAATTGCAGGCAGAAACACTGTACTTGCCTGTTCCCAAAGCGCGTTCTTCTCATCATCCTCTCTCTCATTCCACTGTGTCTGCAGGCGCCGAGAGAGATCCCATCCATAGCTAAACAGGAACTGGCCTCCTAGTAAATGGGACCGCACAAGCGCCAGCAGATGTCCTTCAACAGGGTGTGGTGGGCTCTGCACAGAGACGTTTGGATTGAGAGGGAGGATGTCAAAGTCTGCAGCACGGTATATGTCATAGCCCATGAAGCGAGCCCGGTGCTCGCGGCCAGTCATAATAATAGTATATTCCGCTGTTGAAGGTCATTATCGGCCACTGTATGTCGAAGTATTTGCCTGGGAGACGTACACAGGGCCAAAGATATCATCCCAAGTATCCCATACACTGTTTTTTCATACCTCGAGGCAGTTGCAGGTATCGGCGTGTTCGGGGCTACCTCGATGTCAGCGAGCGCAGAGTGCTTCCTTAGTCGAGAGAATTTACGGTTTAGAACTATATCACCAGTCGACCTCTGTATTGTGAGGGACTGGGCACCCAGTGGTTCCACAGGAACGAAAGTATAGGCATCCTGGCCGTCAATAAATCTGGTGCACAAATAAATGTGAGAGCGCCATATGTCTGAAACCTGAGCCATGCACACACAGATTGAGTCTCTGGTATATAGGCTTCATTGTATGTCAGAACGGGGATGAATTGATGAAGTTGAGCGCGTCTTCGCGGTGAGTAACGGGGCGTTGCTTCGGTTCAGTGCTTTTGGATACCTCAGAGTCATTGCGTCCAGGCTGAGTCTGAAACGCTGGACTCGGCTTGCCTCACAGCTCTAGTGACACTGCAGTCATGGTCAAGCTCACCCCAGAGCTGCTTGTTCAAGCACCCTCTACAATAAACCCTATAAAAGAGCGCCAACTTGATCTTCGTGGTGAGTGTTTCAGAGATATCGTTCCGAGAGCGTGCTCAAGTTACGACAAAGGATACAAAATCCCTACAATCGAAAACCTTGGTGTCACCAGGGTATGTATCGTCTGATCAGATCTATTACCCTACCGTACTCTGACAACACTTCATTTGCGCCATAGGACCAACACGATGCCATAGATTTGACTGATAATTCCATCACCGCGCTTGGGAACTTTCCTCTCCTCAAACGTCTACGAACACTCCTCCTCGCCAATAACCGCATCACTTCCATTTCCCCATCTATTCACCTGTCGGTTCCAAATCTCACAACCCTCGCCCTTACGGGCAACAACTTCTCCGAGCTTGGTGATCTCGAACCGCTAAAGGAACTAAAAAATCTGAAGTACCTATCACTGCTCGGAAATCCTGTACGAGAAAAGAAATGGTATCGCGAGTGGCTTGCGTGGAGAATACCATCGCTGAGAGTTCTGGATTTTCAGAGGATCCGGGATAAGGTGCGCCAACCACTATTTTCCGAACCTGTCTCTTGTCGATGCAGCTTATTGGAACGCCTCCACACTATACAGGAGCGGCAAACAGGAAAGACCATGTTCCTCACCGCAGAGGGCCTACCCACTGCACTCGCAACGACGGTGGCGACGACCGTTTCAAAACACGGTGCAAAGACCACCAGCATCACAACTGATGAACCTAAGCCAGCCCCGCTTGCAGGAATGGCCGGCCGGTTGATGTCAAAGGAAGAAGCTGAAAAGGTCAAGCAAGCCATCGCAATGGCGACCTCGATTGAGGATATCAGAAGGCTGGAGAGAAGCCTGAAGGAGGGATACATGCCAAGTATGGAGGCAGTTGGTGCTTAATGTGTTGTAAAGTGTATTTCTTGCCCTAATATCGCCTCATTTTCCACAAGCGACCTCTGGGCACACCGCACGAAGAGAAACTCCTTGAGAGACCGCTCATAGTCCTACTTTTCCGATCCACAATCCGAGTGCGATGACGGCGCCAAGGTTTGCCAGCGAATTAATGCCGTAAAGCATTCCGACCCTTCGTCTAAGGTCCTCATCTCGGAGACCTGCAGTATGACGATACCGTTGCATTGTCATACACCTTCCCTTCAGCGTTGGTTTGTGACATCGTCCTTGTCATCATCCAGCAGAGATGTGTATGGAACTTGAAGACATGCTCGCTCGTCATTGAGCCAAGAACGAATTGGTCCACGCCTTGGAGCCAAATATTACGCACACGAGGCTGTAGACTTGTGCAACATTCACTATACCGAAGGACCATCGAGCTGGGCTAAGACGTGGGGTGATTATACACCCACAGTCCCGTTGAACAGGGCGGAAGTGGGCCGAGGGAAACGGAGTAGACAAATGTTGGGTGCTAGAGGGAACTTGCGCCTCGTTTTGAACAAAGTCAGCTGGCGGTCTAAGTGTACAAAGCCAGTATGTATGCCTCCTTTGCGTTAAACAGGAGAGAGTCAGCACTTCTTCCTGGGACATGTATCGCAATCAAAGGTAGTAGAGAAGGAGGTCGATCCCGGAAGCAGGTCTTTGATCATCATGCGACATGAAAGCAGTTCTCGCATTCACACCAGCCGCCTTTGGGGTGAACGCGGCCATTTGAAGACAATGATTGCTATCTTGAACTCATCCTCCACTGGTACTTGGAGACAGACATGAATAGATGAGACACTGGCACATTCGTCCTGTCTGTACCAATCTGGTGCATATCCTTAAACCCAGTCTGCGTTCTTGCTTCGAAGTACGATTATTTACACTGTAATGGAACGGACGTCCAATTATGCTGTGAGAGTGGGTATGTGATGGCTTAATCTATCACCCGACTCAACTTTCAGGAGTGCATGGCCCAGTCCCCAGGCATGCCCCCCTGCCTCCCCACTCGCCTCCTCGGACCGGGGCCCAGAGCTCGTTCATCGCGCGAAACACCGTTCATCACAAGGTGCTTATCCACCAGCTAGGATGAGAAATCCAGGCAAAGATCAGCGTAGTCCCCATAACTGCAGTCCTGAGGCAGCATTACTCACATCATTCAACACATTCGTCGATTTCGTGAGAGCAGAGAGGAATGCAGTAAGTTGTACATCTTCGTATTCCTGTAGGGGATCGCGACAAAGGAGTCAAAATCGTACGGGGGGAACATATCGAGATACTATGACGCAGTCTTCGAGAGTGTGGCCATCGCCAGGTGGTGGTGTAATGATGTGGGCATAAAGCAAGCCGAACTCACAGTATCGAATTCTTGACGAAAACCCTTGTTTTCACTTGCGGGAAGTGATGCGATCAAGGCTGAGAGTGATCGGAGGGTGGTATGATCCTTCGGGACTTGACCTGTGTGATAAGGCTTATTTGAGATCAAGGGTCTAACCAGTAACTGGACACCTACCTGCGATCACATTCGTGACATATTGTACGAGTACTAAAATCCGCTCGTGGAGCATCTTGACTGCGGCTCTTTGTGTCTGCAGATGTGATTCCACTGGGCGATGTGAGTCTGATGTGTTGCGGCCCCAAGTGAAGTCAGGAACTCACAGCTAGTACTGCCTCCTCCACCCTTCGCCGTCCAATCGACAGCGATACGTTCGGCCTCACCGGTCTCCACTTTATATGGTGCCTCAATAAAAACAGATCGTGTCTTCTTGTCTCTGATCTCAACTGAAGGTTCGTAGGCTTTGAAAGGAAGTGTCTGACTGGTTATGTCAGATGAAGCTGGCGCAGACGAAGAGGGCTGGAGGAGGAGAAGGAGCGGCGTTGAGCAATATCCTGTAAACTGTCGAGGTGATTATCAGCATACGATAGGACAGTGATCAAAGGCTAAACTGACCTGGTCCTGGAGTGCTATGTGACGAAGGGTCGGTGCTGGTGCGACAGTGTACCACCCAATGAATTCCAGTGAAGGAAATACTTGTTTATCTGTGGCACATGAGGCAAGGACAGTAGGCTGCTGAGAAGAACATGACGTACATTGATCTCTCCTTTGCACCAGGAATCCGTGATCGACCTTGTCATCACGTCCCTCCTCTAGTGCGAGCTCAAACGTATTAACGATCTCCACCTCTCGACCATTCTGTGTGCCCAGCAACGCACCAAGTACTACATACGTACCAGTCGATACATGTCTATCAGGCGATCATGAGCAGCAAACTTACCGAAGGGCAAATTCGATTTTATCTGGAGCTTCAATCGGGTGAGGTGCTCTGAGATACTTAGGATCGGCAAGGGGTGTCTACGTGTTGTCGTGAAGCGTGATATCTGATGACGGCGGCGTAATCGACCTACAATGAAAGAGAAAGACCTGAGACCGTGCTTGATGGGAGCACGACCGAGAGCTCATCGGTGTCCATTGAAGTCATGACAATGAATATGATACAAGAGATGTAAGGGACCACCGCCACTAATTCACGCATAGTACAAGGGGCAAAAAAAGCGAAAAAAATAAATTCCCATTAGCCGATTTGAACGACTGACCTCGTCATTACTAGTGACGCGCTCTACCAACTGAGCTAAACGGGAGTTATAATGACATTTACGCTAGTATTCTATAACTCATATCTTGTTCGTGGAGACGCGAAAGGACCTACCCTGAATTCAATCGTTCGCGTCTCGCGCTTCATTCTTGTAGTCCATCACCTGCCATCATGTCCGGCTTCGACGCGAACCGTGTCTTCACCGTTAATGTCCACGATCCACCAGCTGCAACCTCGACAGATACTCCTTCGCAGGCAGAAAAGCTCCTTCTCGACTTCTTGCTGCAGTACAGAGTGGGAGGTGAATTCATCTACAGGTCTGCCCCGTTAGGTTTTGGATGTATTTCGGAGTTTGATCATGCTACAGAGACAAGCTTCGTGGAAATATCCTCTTGAAGCAGTACCAGCTAGAGGTGGACCTTCGCCACCTTGGCTTATACAATGACGAACTTGCACATGCGATTCAAGATCGACCAGCAGACATTCTTCCCCTGGTGGGTCATACTTGGTGGCTACACACCCACCTCTCACACCCACGCGATGCCTAGTTTGAAAACGCAGCCACCAAAGCTGCTCGGGCAATCCTTTTCCCCCTTGCAGGCAGTTCAGACGAACGAGCAGAAGCAGCACTCCAAGCCATTCCAAAAATTCAAGTAACCATACAATCTGGACTAAACCTGCAACGCTTCCGTGATCTCACCGCAGACACGATGAACAAATTAGTCCGTATACCAGGCATCGTGATATCAGCTTCCGTCCTCTCTTCCAGATCCACGAAGCTCCACCTTCAGTGTCGTGCATGCAAGTCGACGAAAATGATATACCCCGCTGGAGGTCTCGGTGGGATTGGCAGTGGGTCTGACCGGGGTCTTCCGAGAGTTTGCGATGCTCCCGAGTTGGACAACCAGAAGAAAGACTGTCCACTTGACCCCTATATCATTGTTCATTCCAAATCGAGCTTTGTGGACCAACAGACTCTCAAACTCCAGGAAGCCCCTGATATGGTACCCGTCGGAGAACTTCCTCGCCATATGCTCCTGTCAGCGGATAGATATCTAACGGGAAAAGTCGTTCCCGGCTCACGCATCATCGCCACTGGCATCTATTCAACATTCAACTCGGCAAAAAATGTAAGTTCGTAGCACGCTCTCAGGGTCTCTGTCATGTCATTGAGCATCAGAACGCAGAAATCTGCTGGCCCAGCTGCCCTTCGACAGCCATATCTTCGCCTTGTTCACATCGAGTTATCTTCACCATCTGCAGGTGGCGCAGCTTCAAATCCTTTCGGAGTGCAGTTTAGTCCTGAAGAAGAGGATGAGTTCGGCGAAATGGCGCGAAGCGAAGGATTCTACGAGCGCTTCGCGAAAAGTGTAGCTCCAAGTATCTATGGAAGCCTGGGTCAGTCCAAGCTCGTGATGAGGGACGCATTACTGATGGCGAATCAGATATCAAGAAGGCAATCACCTGTCTTCTATTCGGAGGCTCCAAAAAAGTTCTACCTGACGGAATGCGATTAAGGGGAGACATCAATGTACTTTTACTCGGAGACCCTGGTACAGCGAAAAGCCAACTGCTCAAGTTCGTCGAGAAGGTAAACTTTGCCTGTATCTTTTTCATCATCTTGTTTTATGTCTATGATGTTTATAGGTCGCGCCAATCGCCGTATACACCTCGGGCAAGGGTTCGAGTGCGGCAGGTCTGACAGCTTCAGTGCAACGTGACGCGGTTTCTGTGAGTTTACAACAATGTAGTTTTGACGTTGCTGATCGCCACCTGGATAGCGCGAGTTCTACCTGGAAGGTGGTGCCATGGTCCTTGCCGACACCGGTGTTGTGTGTATCGATGAGTTCGACAAGATGCGTGACGAAGACCGTGTTGCCATCCACGAAGCAATGGAGCAGCAGACTATATCCATAGCAAAGGCTGGTATTACGACGGTTCTGAACTCGAGGACGAGTGTCCTTGCAGCAGCGAACCCAGTATGGGGCAGGTACGACGAGGGACGCAGTCCAGGCGAGGTAAGTCATTGTCGGTCTTGGTTGGTCCTTAGCAACTCATTTGATCTACTACAGAACATCGATTTCCAAACCACGATATTATCTCGTTTTGACATGATATTCATCGTTAAAGACGAACATAATGAGCAGCGTGACCGAGTTCGTTTCTCGATCCTTGCCACTGGCTGTTTTCTTATCCTCACCAGATGATCGCAAAACACGTCATGAATATTCACATGAACAGACCAAACCAAAATGCTGATGAGAACGGTGAGGTAGTCGGTGAGATTGATATCGACAAGATGAAGCGATACATCGCGTATTGCAAAAGGTAGTCCTGTTGTTCTAGTTCAGAATCTCTGTTCATGAAGTTTTTAGCAAATGCGCTCCTCGGCTATCCCCAGACGCCCAGGAGATGTTGAGCAGCCACTTTGTCAGCCTGCGAAAGCAGGTCCAACAGGTTGAGCGTGACAACGATGAACGGAGTTCGATACCGATCACTATTCGGTTGGTTTATCACTTTGGGCTATCTTCCTGCCTTTATCATTGGCACTTATGTTTCTAGGCAACTAGAAGCCATCATTCGAATATCCGAGTCCCTCTCCAAGATCACGCTCTCGCCCATCGTGCAGAACCACCACGTCGAAGAGGCGATACGTTTATTCAAATTCTCTACCATGGACGCCGTCTCAGCGGGTTCTGTTGATGGAATGTCCCGAGGCGAGCTCAACGAAGAGATGAACCGCATAGAAAAGGAGCTTCGAAGGCGGCTGCCAGTAGGATGGAGTACGAGCTACCAGAGTCTAGTCAGGGAATTTGTCACGCAACAAGGCTATTCAAGTCACGCCCTAGAACGCACACTATTTATCCTGGAGAAGAGGGAGATCATTAAATTTAGTGGGCAGAAGAAGGTCGTGCATAGGTAGGATTCTTCTCCCCAGCGCAAGTCCCTCTGCTGATTATCAACGCAGGGTTGGTGTATGACATGGTTGCTACTCATTTCGCTTTTAATACATGTATCATGATGTATGTATCTCCGCTTTTGCACGACGTTACTGTCACCCGTGACGGATATTAAGCCTTTTTGAATGAATTACATCGCCCGCCTAGCTCAATCGGATAGAGCGTCAGACTCTTAGGACTAGGCGATCTGAAGGCTGCGAGTTCGACCCTCGCGGTGGGCTATTATTTTTTGGTTCTTCTTTTCTGCGAGCTGCTCAGCATGAGCTGAGCCAAGTATGTTGGATCCCGACAATTTTGTGATCAGCCATGTTTTGAAACTTCCCCATAACACGTCGCATGGAAAAGGGCCCGGGTTACTTACCGTCAAGTACCCAATACCAGAGGACAACTCACTGTGGACATACCTGTGATTCAGAGAGAGCGTGGCTTAACACGCTCTATGCGTCATCAGAGGCGCTGAAGACTCAGTGAGCTGGCGGGTCGCGGCATAAGGGGGCTGCTCCGCCATCTTGCTAGGTCGCCATAGTGTATTTGCCCGTTCTGACGTCTCGCTAGTTGCAGCGTATTTTCGTCACCGAGTCCTCTCCCTTCATTTATTATTACCGCAGCGTTCTTTTCGCACACGTTCCATTTCATCGTTTATTTGGTTTCTACTGATCGATTAACACGAGAGGAAAAAAAAAAGAAAGATGAACAAAAAGTGATTAGCCCACCGCGAGGGTCGAACTCGCAGCCTTCAGATCACCGCCTTGCACGACTCGTACAATCGTAAAAGTCTGACGCTCTATCCGATTGAGCTAGGCGGGCGATGTTATTATTTTCTGAAGGCATCTTATGACTCCTTCGGAGCATGTCCACGTGACATTGTTCATTGGTTCACGTGCCACGGACGCGTTCGTGATGACTTTCTTGTTGTCATCAGTGACTCAGTACTCAGATTCACCACGAAGACCGTAGATATAGCACATACACCACACATTGAGACGGTTAGGTACACAGATGGGTAGCATCATATCGGACAGCGAGGAGGAGAGGCCACGGTAAGCTGTGGAACTTTTGTAATAATTCTGGTGTTCAGAGCAACTTTCTCTCAGACTGCCACCTCCCGTCAGCGAGAAGCCTTTCATGGAGGTCATAGAAATATCGTCTGATTCAGAAGAGGACGTGTAAGTGGCAATCGCAATATTCTAAGAGCTCGTCCTAATCATCTGCAGAATTTGTCAGGCGAGTCCTAGGTATAAAGCTGATATTATTTTGGTCGCACCCAAGTACTCAAGTTCAATCTTGTCATTTTAACTACAGGAAGTCAGTGCCCTCACGTCAAGGAAGAAGCAATCTTCGCAGGACAGCTGCGGCTCAACAAAATGTTATTGAGTTGACAGACAGCGACCCAAGTGACTTTCTTGACCTTCCGGACATGCTGCCTCCTCTGGTCAAGCGACCTACAGAACAAGGTCCTGCTGCCTCAAAGTTCATACACCCTCTCTCTGCAAGAAAACTCTTACCATTGTATGCTGACGCGAGTGACGACGAAGATACTGATGATGGCTCCATTTTGGTGTTGTGTGTTACTTGCCTTTACATTGCTGGGACATACGCCTACTCTAATCTAGGGATAATCCTCGAGGGTCCCGAAAACCAATCCGAAGCATCTCGCCCTCCAAGAGTGGTGCTCCAAAAGCATCCCATCCTGCTGCACCGACGGAGCCTTCGCGACAGGCACCTATAGAAGATGCCATCAAGAACATCCTGCGGCCACCAACACGGTCTCAAAAGCAAGCCACCGTCTCTGAGCCCCCACCGGGTAACTCGGTTCCTAAACAGCCCCGGCTTTTAAAAAAGGCACAAATGACAGAAGACCAAGCCCGAAGGGAGAGATATGCAACTGAACTATTTGCCGAGCTCAACCATGACGTCTTTGGTGATGAGCTGCCAAAGGAAACTAACTTGGAATGGAACAAACGGTTGCTGACCACAGCCGGACGAGCGTGCTGGCACCGGTGAGCACAGCTAGATGGAGCATCACTCGGGGTGTTAACTGGCCATCAACTGTAGCTCTCGCGATGGCGCACATACCACAAAGATT